AACTGACCCACAGACAGTCTGATCAAGTTATCAACTGTACAACAGACAGTCTGATCAAGTTATCTACTGTACAACAGACAGTCTTTCCAGGTACTAACTGACCCACAGACGGTCTGTCCAGGTACTTACTGACCCACAGACAATATGATAAAGTTATCTACTGTACAACAGACAGTCTGTCCAGGTACTAACTGACCCCCAGACAGTCTGATCAAGCTATCTACTGTACAACAGACAGTGTGTCCAGGTACTAACTGGCCCTCAGACAATCTGTCCAGGTACTAACGGACCCACAGACAGTCTGAACAAGTTACCAACTGTACAACAGACAGTCTAGTCCAGGTACTAACGTCTGATCAAGTTACCAACGGTCCAACAGACGGTTTGTCCAGGTACTAACTGGCCCACAGACAGTCTGATCAATTTATCTACTGTACAACAGACAGTCTTTCCAGGTACTAACTGACCCTCAGACAATCTGTCCAGGTACTAACTGACCCACAGACGGTCTGTCCAGGTACTAACTGACTTCAAGTTATCAACTGTACAACAGACAGTCTGTCCGGGTACTAACTGACCCACAGACAATCTGATCAAGCTACCAACTGTACAACAGACAGTTTGTCCAGGTACTAACTGACCCATAAGTTATCAACTGCACAACAGCCAGTCTGATCAAGTTATCAACTGTACATCAGACAGTCTGATCAATTCAAGTTATCACCTGTACAACAGACAGTCTGTCCGGGTACTAACTGACCCACAGACGGTATGTCCAGGTACTAACTGACCCATAAGTTATCAACTGCACAACAGACGGTCTGATCAAGTTATCAACTGTACATCAGACTGTCTGATCAATTCAAGTTATCTACTGTACAACAGACAGTCTGTCCGGGTACTAACTGACCCACAGACAGTCTATCAAGTTATCAACTGCACAACAGACAGTCTGATCAAGTTACCAACTGTACAGCAGACAGTCTGTCCAGGTACTAACCGACCCACAGACAGGCTGCCCAGGGACCTACTGACCCACAGACAATCTGATCAAGTTACCAACTGTACAACAGACAGTCTTTACAGGTACTAACTGACCCACAGACAATCTGATCAAGTTACCAACTACAGTCTTTCCAGGTACTAACTGACCCTCAGACAGTCTGTCCAGGTACTAACTGACCCACAGACAGTCTGTCCAGGTACTTACTGACCCACAGACAATCTGATCAAGTTACCAACTGTACAACAGACAGTCTGATCAATTCAAGTTATCAACTGTACAACACACAGTCTGTCCAGGTACTAACTGACCCACAGACAGTCTGATCAAGTTATCTACTGTGCAACAGACAGTCTGTCCAGGTACTAACTGACCAACAGACAGTCTGTCCAGGTACTTACTGACCCACAGACAGTCTGATCAAGTTATCAACTGTACAACAGACAGTCTGATCAAGTTATCTACTGTGCAACAGACAGTCTGTCCAGGTACTAACTGACCCACAGACAGTCTGTCCAGGTACTTACTGACCCACAGACAGTCTGATCAAGTTATCTACTGTACAACAGACAGTCTTTCCAGGTGCTTACTGACCCACAGACGGTCTGTCCAGGTACTAACTGACCCACAGACAGTCTGATCAAGTTACCAACTGTACAACAGACAGTCTATCCAGGTACTAACTGACCCACAGTCAGTCTGATCAAGTTACCAACTGTACAACAGACAGTCTGATCAAGTTATATACTGTACAACAGACAGTCTTTCCAGGGGCTTACTGACCCACAGACGGTCTGTCCAGGTACTAACTGGCCCACAGACGGTCTGTCCAGGTACTTACTGACCCACAGACAGTCTGATCAAGTTACCAACTGTACAACAGACAATCTGTCCAGGTACTAACTGACCCACAGTCAGTCTGATCAAGTTACCAACTGTACAACAGACAGTCTGGCCAGGTACTAACTGACCCACAGACAGTCTGATCAAGTTATCAACTGCACAACAGACAGTCTGATCAAGTTATCAACTGAACAACAGACAGTCTAGTCCAGGTACTAACTGACCCACAGACAGTCTGATCAAGTTATCAACTGACCCACAGACAGTCTGATCAAGTTATCAACTGTACAACAGACAGTCTAGTCAAGGTACTAACTGACCCACAGAAAGTCTGTCCAGGTACTAACTGACCCACAGACAGTCTGATCAACTTATCAACTGTACAACAGACAGTCTAGTCCAGGCACTAACTGACCCACAGACAGTCTAGTCCAGGTACTAACTGACCCACAGACAGTCTGATCAAGTTATCTACTGTACAACAGACAGTCTGTCCAGGTACTAACTGACCAATAGACAGTCTGTCCAGGTACTAACTGACTCATAGACTGCAGTCTGTCTAACTAACTAACCAATAGACAGTCTGTTCAGGTACTAAATATAACTGACCAATAGACATGTCTGTCCAGGTAAAAGCTGACCCCTAGACAGTCTGTCCATGTACAAACTGACCAATAGACAGTCTGTCCAGGTACTAACTGACCCATAGACTGCAGTCTGTCTATGTACAAACTAATCAATAGACAGTCTGTTCAGGTACTAAATATAACTGACTAATAGACACGTCTGTCCAGGTACAAGCTGACCCCTAGACAGTCTGTCCATGTACAAACTGACCAATAGACAGTCTGTCCAGGTACTAACTGACCCATAGACTGCAGTCTGTCTATGTACAAACTAACCAATAGACAGTCTGTTCAGGTACTAAATATAACTGACCCCTAGACAGTCTGTCCAGGTACAAACTGACCCCTAGACAGTCTGTCCAAGTACAAACTGATCCCTAGACAGTCTGTCCAGGTACTTAATAAACAGACCCCTAGACAGTTTGTCCAGGTACTAACTGACCCCTAGACTGCAGTTTGTCCAGGTACTAACTGACCCATAGACAGTCTGCCCAGGTACTAACTGACCAATAGACAGTCTGTCCAGGTACTAACTGACTTTTAGAAAGTTTGTCCCGGTTCTAACTGACCAATTGACAGTCTGTCCATGTACTAACTGACCAATAGACACTTTGTCCAGGTACTAACTGACCAATAAACAGTCTGTCCAGGTACTAACTGACCAATAAACAGTCTGTCCAGGTACTAACTGACCAATTGACAGTCTGTCCATGTACTAACTGACCAATATACACTTTATCCAGGTACTAACTGACCAATAAACAGTCTGTCCAGGTACTAACTGACCAATAAACAGTCTGTCCAGGTACTAACTGCCCATAGACAGTCTGTCCAGGTACTAACTGACCATAGACAGTCTGTCCAATTACTAACTGACCCATAGCCAGTCTGGTTAAGCTATCAATTGACCCCTAGACAGTCTGTCCAGGTACTAGCTGACCCATAGCAAGTCAGGTCAATCTATCAACTGACCCTTAGACTGTAGTCTGTCCAGGTACTAACTGTCCTGTAGACATTCTGGTCAAGCTATCAACTGACCCATACATAGTCTGTCCAGGTAGTACTAACTGACCTGTAGACATTCTGGTCAAGCTATCAGCTGACCCATATAGAGTCTGTCCAGGTACTAACTGACCTGTAGACATTCTGGTCAAGCTCTTAACACTGACCCATGCAGAGTCTGGTCAAGCTACTATATGACCCTGATCAGCCTACAGTCCTTTACATCACTCCCACACACACTGTGCAAACAGACCACAAACACCTTCCTATGTATCATAACAGCAGCTGAAACTACTGTTAGGGATATTGATATCACCCCACTATGGCACTACTTCCATTTCCAAACTGCACTGTTCAACAAACAGGGCACCTCATCCAATCAGTGGACGCTTTTCTAGTTTCCAAGGTTGGTAAATTCAGACAAATTCTGTCTCCCCATCAAACTGTTCAATACAAAACAGAGGCGAGATTTCCCAGATTGTAACACCAGTTTATTACTCCTGGGAGCTTGTATTGATCAGATGGGGCAAAGCAAGCTGTCACAACTTTAGCCCAATGTAGGTCAGACACTGGGCCAATATTTATAGCCCCTTATCTTTATTACAAAATCAAAGATCACCATGTTATCTGACATTCCTGATAATCTCCATACAGACCTCATCCATACAGAATGAAAACATTGAGGAAAATAACAAAAGAGTTAATCCTTGATTCATTTTCGTTATTTTTTGTCCCCCTATTTATTCTTACTCAACAGCCATACTGTTTTCGATTGCACTAAAAGTATTGAGTGTTTTGTTGATACCAAAATTTAGCATAACACTCTTGCATTTTATCTTCATGTACTGTAGTTCTCAGTAATCAAGCTTTATACACACAAACCAGATATATCAAAATAGGTTTTGATTTGTAACATCATGCCTTAAAATCAATATCAACAAATGATAAGCTTAAAAACTTGTAAAATTTGACAGTACAATTGTATTTGGTGTTTTCTTTTTTCAAAATATCTGCTGCAAAATTGTACACAGTTTAACCTTTCTGGTGTTTAAAGGGAAACAACTCCTCTTTGCAGTCAGTTCATATAACTTTTAAAATTGAAATAAATTTCAACAAAAATCTAAATAGATGGTGTTATCAAGGGGAAATAACTCTTCCCTGCTTGCAAAGAATGTGAAAGTGTAAAATTCCACAAATTGATATCACTTATTATACTAAGGATTATATCCGTTAACAAAAGTAACTTACCAAAACCTAATGTACAAATTAAGAAAAGGAAATTTCCTTTTAAAAATCTGATTTGCTACTGAAGACGTCAAAAACAAATTCATTGGTTTCTAAATAAACTTTTCAAAAATGTTTTTTAAAAAATTGTTTGCTTTGTAGGTAGTCAAAATTTCCTTCGAGTACATTTCATTAGATTTGGAATATTTTTTTTCAAACTTAATCAGAATTCAAAATTGTACATGAATTTTATCAATAACACTTTCATTAATCAGAATTTTACAATTTGAAACAGAACAAACCTGAAAGCTGTGGTTGATATTTTTTGTACTGCATTCTGCTACACTCAGGTCTGTCAATTCTATTTCATCGTAGATCACAGACTGCAAAGGAAATAATGGTTGGTAATAATACAACAAAGAAAGGCAAAGTCAGCAATCCTTAAAACACCACCTGCGGACAAATTTTGTAACCAAAATTAACAAAGGTATATAACTGCAAATAGTGGAGCTAGAGACCAAAAATTTCAAAACAGGATTGTTCCATCCCAACAGGTAACAAAAAGTAACGTATTTTTATAGACATTGATAAATCAAATTTTCCAATTTTCAGTATTCAAAACTGTGGGTTAGTGTGATTCAATACAAGAGGCCCAGAGGGCCTGTATCGCTCACCTGGATATCTAAGCAATCATGGCAAAATATTCTCCAAATGAGATCCAAGGGAATATGCCAGACCCCAAGGCCAATCCTTGTAGCATATCTGTATTTGATATTTTTATGCCCAGCAATTTTATGTATGGTTATGGGGTAGGGATCTCAACTGTTTCCAAGCTGTGACTCAGAAACTAGGTCCCTACGGTTGTGGCCAGACCCCAGGATCAATTCTAATATCATGACTGCATTTGTCTCTTTTTGCCAAGCGTTTGTATATATAGTTTTGGGTTGGGGATCTCAACCGTTTCCAAATTATGACCCAGGGGTTAAGTCTGCAAGGGTGGGGCAGACCCTGGGGTCAATTCTAATATCATGACCGATTCGTTTCTTTATGTCCAACAATTGTATATATAGTTTTGGGTTGGGGATCTCAACCGTTTCAAAATTATGACCCAGGGGTTAAGTCTGCAAGGGTGGGGCAGACCCTGGGGTCAATTCTAATGTCATGACTGCATTCGTTTCTTTATGCCCAACAATTGTATATATAGTTTTGGGGTGGGTATCTTAACCGTTTCAAAGTTATATACGACCCAGGGGTTAAGTCTCCAAGGGTGGGGCCAGACCCTAGAGCCATCCTGGAAGCTAATGTGCATTACTCTCTTTATACTCAGCAATTATATATATGGTTATATGGTGGGGATCTCAACCATTTCCAAGTAATATATATTTTTTGGCCCCACCCCTTAGCCCGGGGGGTCAGCCCCACCATTTGTACAATGTTGAATTCCTGCCTCCCATGAATGCTTCCGACCAAATATGATCAATATCCATGGTATAGTTCTACGGAAGAAGTCGTTTATAGCAATATAGCCAAATTGCCCCCTTTTGGCCCAGCCCTCAGCCCCCTGGGGGGTCAGCCCCACCATTTGTACAAAATTGAATCCCCACCACCTAGGGATGCTTCAAGTCAAATATGGTTGATATCTATCACTTAGTTCCAGAGAAGAAGTCGCTTAAGTTAATATAGCTAAATAACCAGTTTTGGCCCCGCCCCTCAGCCGCCACGGGGGTCAGCCACACCATTTGTACAATTTTGAATCCCATGAATGCTTCTGATTAAATATGATTGATATCCAGTGCATAGTTCTACAGAAGAAGTCGTTTGTAGCAATATAGCCAAAATGCCCCATTTTGGCCCCGCCCCTCAGCCCCCTGGGGGGTCAGCCCCACCATTTGTACAAAATTGAATCCCCACCACCTAGGGATGCTTCCAGTCAAATATGGTTGATATCCATCTCTTAGTTCCAGAGGAGATGTCGCTTAAAGCAATATAGCCAACTTGCCCCCTTTTGGCCCCGCCCCTCAGCCCCCTGGGGCGTCAGCCCCACCATTCGTAAAATTTTGAATCCCCCCCCCCTAGGGATTCTTCCAGTCAAATTTAGTTAAATTCCAATCAGTGGTTAAGAAGAAGAAGTCGTTTAAAGAAAATTGTTGACGGACGGACGGACGACGGCAGACGACACGGTATGGCCTAAGCTCACCTTGGTCCTTCGGACCCGGTGAGCTAATAGGGTAAGTGTAAGACTGAACTAACAATACTTGTGGTTCACTGTTTCAACCGATAAGGAAAATCTTATCCTCATTGATCTTGTTCATGTGTATGCTGATGTACTTTGTGCAATAATAAAGAATTGAACTTTGTTTCACTTCGTTTTTTATTATTTTATTCCAAATAGTCTACATGTTCATGTTCAGTTTTAATTTACTTCAAAACTATTATTGGTCATCCATTTTAAACGGATTATTCCAATGTATTCTTTAAATTTATTGATTTCTATTTTATTTACAATATTTACGTACCACATATATATACTGTACAATACAAACTCAACACATGCCGATTCTGTGATACCCAAAACCAAAATGGCGGACCAGGATGTCCAGTCTGGGCTTGTGACAGGTAAAACCCAGGCTTGTATCTAGTGATAAGCCCCCCCCCCCCCTACTTTTGACATGTTGTCATACACAGCCACTTGGGTTAATCATCAGTAAAATATGGTAAATTAGATACATACAGTATTTGCCAACCTTTCAGATCTGGGTGACCTATCTCTGACCAAAATATATCTAAAGATGCTCATATTTAATAAAGCGTCAATAGTGTCTTCTATGCAATTAATTGATTGAATTTGATAAAAAAAAATATTCATTTGTCAAAAAAGTTAAAAATTATAGTGAAAAAACAGAGGTTTCCCTCTAAAACAGAGACACTTTACTAATAGTTTGAAATAAATGTGATCCTGGAGTATCTGTCAAAAACTAGTAGTCCAGTACAGTGTATAATGATGTTTGTTTTCAACATAAGCTTGAACATCGTATACCACATAATAATAATCTATCTGAATGATATTCCAAATGATTGCCCAAATAGAGAAAACATTCCATTTTACCACGTAAACTGAGTCTAGAAAATATGTACCTTGGTATCTTTTGCATAGTAGAGTCGCCTCCCCTTCAACTTGAAATATCGTCTTTTCCATCTCTGTAAGGGAAAAAGACAAATTCATCATTCACAACTACCGTAGTACCCTACAAAGGTGTTCTTTTATAAAGCCATCTAACAATAGAGTTAGTCAGGACAAAGTTCACGCAGCAAAAATTAGATGTTTTACAGTTCTTAAAATTAATAGAATCTTAAAATTTAATTTGATATCAATAATTTCTATAAAGAGAATATAAGTGAATTTATTTGTTGGTGTTATTTTATTGGGAAATAAAGTTAAACTCACCTGAAAATTGGTTTGTTTCATGAGGTAGCCTTCTTTGGTAGACGCCTGGAATGAAAACAAAACATGTAAATGTTGGCAAGTTTTTTCCTACTTAATAATTGCATTCATTAATATTCAGCTGATTAAGAACATTTTTAATGACATAAACATTTTAAAAAAATAAAAATAATACCGGATAATTAATTAAGTTGGGAAAAACTTTTCATTTCCATTACGAATGGCATTGATACACAGGTACGAAATCTCACTCCACTAACTTCAATAGCAATTTATAGACCTGGGGAAGTTTACCATGATTTTTACACAAACACATTATTCTGACATTCATTAATTAAAGAAGTACTGTAAAATAAGATATTTTTGTGGGACCCAAATTTCGTGGTTTCCCGAAAAAAACTACAATTTCGTTGGTACGTCAATTTGTGGATTACGAGTATCTGTCAAACTTGTAGTTAGTTCATGGACCTATGATTTCGTGGGTGAAGACAACCCTTCAAATCAATGAAACCCATGGAAATTGGTGATTTCACAGTATCTTTATATACATATAGATACTATGAAGTGAGGATATATATGTATATAAGGATACTGTGAAATGAGGATATTTATGTATATAAAGATACTGCGAAATGAGGATATATGTATATAAAGACACGGTGAAATGAGGATATATGTATATAAAGATACTGCGAAATGAGGATCTGTATGTATATAAAGATACTGCGAAATGAGGATCTGTATGTATATAAAGATATTGTGAAATGAGGATATATATGTATATATATCCTCATTTAACAGTGTCTTTATATACATATATATCATCATTTCACAGTATCTATATATACATATAGATCCTCATTTGACAGTATCTTTATATCCATATAGATCCTCATTTCACAGTGTCTTTATATACATATAGATCCTATGAAATAAGGATTTATATGTATATAAAGACACGGTGAAATGAGGATATATGTATATAAAGACACGGTGAAATGAGGATATTTATGTATATAAGGATACTGTGAAATGAAGATCTATATGTATATAAAGACACGGTGAAATGAGGATATATATACATATATATCCTCATTTCGCAGTATCTTTATATACATATAGATCCTCATTTCACAGTATCTATATATACATATAGATCCTTATTTCATAGTATCTTTATATACATATATATCCTCATTTCGCAGTATCGTTATATACATATATATCCTCATTTCACAGTTTCTATATATACATATATATCCTCATTTCACAGTGTCTTTATATACATATATAACCTCATTTCACAGTATCTTTATATACATATATATCCTCATTTCACAGTGTCTTTATATACATATAGATCCTCATTTCATAGTATCTATATATACATATATATCCTCATTTCGCAGTATCTTTATATACATACAGATCCTCATTTCGCAGTATCTTTATATACATATATATCCTCATTTCACAGTATCTATATATACATATATATCCTCATTTCGCAGTATCTATATATACATATATATCCTCATTTCGCAGTATCGTTATATACATATATATCCTCATTTCACAGTATCTTTATATACATATATATCCTCATTTCACAGTAATTTAAAAACATATATATCCTCATTTCACAGTATCTTTATATACATATAGATCCTCATTTCATAGTATCTATATATACATATATATCCTCATTTCACAGTATCTATATATACATATAGATCCTCATTTCACAGTGTCTTTATATACATATATAACCTCATTTCACAGTATCTTTATATATATATATATCCTCATTTCACAGTAATTTAAAAACATATATATCCTCATTTCAAAGTATCTTTATATACATATAGATCCTCATTTCATAGTATCTATATATACATATATATCCTCATTTCGCAGTATCGTTATATACATATATATCCTCATTTCATAGTATCTTTATATACATATATATCCTCATTTCACAGTTTCTATATATACATATATATCCTCATTTCACAGTATCTATATATACATATAGATCCTCATTTCACAGTATCTATATATACATATAGATCCTCATTTCACAGTATCTATATATACATATATATCCTCATTTCGCAGTATCGTTATATACATATATATCCTCATTTCACAGTAGCTTTTTATACATATATATCCTCATTTCGCAGTATCCTTATATACATATATATCCTCATTTCGCAGTATCGTTATATACATATATATCCTCATTTCATAGTATCTTTATATACATATATATCCTCATTTCACAGTTTCTATATATACATATATATCCTCATTTCACAGTGTCTTTATATACATATAGATCCTCATTTCACAGTGCCTTTATATACATATAGATCCTCATTTCACAGTGCCTTTATATACATATAGATCCTCATTTCACAGTGCCTTTATATACATATAGATCCTCATTTCACAGTGCCTTTATATACATATAGATCCTCATTTCACAGTGCCTTTATATACATATAGATCCTCATTTCACAGTATCTTTATATACATATATAACCTCATTTCACAGTATCTTTATATACATATATAACCTCATTTCAAAATGTGCTTCACATCCCAGCTAGTAAAAATAATAGCGAGAGAATTTACATTCCAAGATGCTAATTACATTTGGAATAGTTTATTGTCAAATGTGAAAAATAGTAAAAGTCTATTGTTAAGGACATGTGTCAAATGTGCGTTTTGCTACTGGTTGTGGAGACTTGAGAAAGCTAAAACGATGTTAATATCAGGACACCTCAGTTGTTCAGAACACTAGGAAGAGCCCTCTCCACTTTGGAGATTACTAACTGAAGTTTCCACGTTCAAAATTACTAGATCATAAATTAATCCTACAAGTTGTATATATATTGGAAGTCAGCATAACATAGTACACATGAGCTGCAGACCACAGGCATACCAACAAAAATCTTTGCTCACAAGAATGGCCTACCGTGTCATTTTCTATTTGATGTAAAAACTATGAATTTACAACTGAATGCAGTTTCCGAGAGTTTTTGAAAGCAGATGAAATTAACTACTTTTGATCTTTTTGTTTGTGTTTTATGTCCTATTAACAGCTATGGTCATTTCAGGACGTGCCAGGTTTTGGTGGTGGAGGAAAGCCGGAGTTCCCGGAGAAAAACCACCGAATCCGCGACCCAGAGGTGGAAGCTAGTGGTAGCAGCTAGAATGTCAGACGCCTTAACCACCTGGCCATCGCGACCCAGTGGTGGATGGCTAGTGGTAGCAGAATGTCAGAAGCCTTAACCACTTGGCCACTGCGGCCCAGTGGTGGATGGCTAGTGGTAGCAGAATGTCAGAAGCCTTAACCACTTGGCCACTGCGGCCCAGTGGTGGATGGCTAGTGGTAGCAGAATGCCAGAAGCCTTAACCACTTGGCCACCGCGGCCCAGTGGTGGATGGCAAGTGGTAGCAGAATGCCAGACGCCTTAACCACTTGGCCACCGCGGCTCAGTGGTGGATGGCTAGTGGTAGCAGAATGTCAGAAGCCTTAACCACTTGGCCCCTGCGGCCCAGTGGTGGATGGCTAGTGGTAGCAGAATGGCAGACGCCTTAACCACTTGGCCACCGCGGCCCAGTGGGGGATGGCTAGTGGTAGCAGAATGCCAGACGCCTTAACCACTTGGCCACCGCGGCCCCTACCCTTTTTGGGAACCTGGCAATGGGTTGCCTTATGCTGTCCACCCTAAAATATCTTTGCTAAAGTCAGATGAAGTAGAACAAGCAAGATCCTAATACTGTACATGGACACAAAGAGAATGGGCATGGTCTCCGGTAAAGTGATGTGATAGCTATATAGCAGGCTTCTATACTAAGCCATGCTAACAATGAATCATAACTTCATCACACAAATCTCTCCCAGTGTTCTGGTAACCAAAGTTTGGCCTTTACTTAACAATAAGGTAGAGAGATATAAAACAGGAATTTAACTACTCAGAAACTGTAAGCAAGGTCCTGTGTTAAGACACTATGAATTAGATGCTGCACATAAAAACCACATATATACATAGCTAGCAAGGCCCTGTGTTAAATCACTTTGACACAGCAGGTCCATGTAGCAAGGCACTGTATTGAGTCACTATCAACTCGATACTAACAGATGAACCACACATATCTAGCAAGGCCCTGTGTTAAGTAAACTAGATACTAGAGACAGGAACCACAGATAAACAAGTTAAAGCTAGCAAGGCCCTGTGTTACATCAGTTTGAGCTAGATGCTGAACAAAGGAACTACCCATATCTAGCAAGGCCCTGTGTTAAGCCAATCAGTGTAGATACTGGACACAGGAACCACACATATCTAGCAAGGCCCTGTGTAAAGTCAGTTTGAACTTGACACTGCACAGAGGAACCACACATATATCTAGCTCTGTGACCTGTGTGTTAAGTCCGTTTGAATTAGACCTTGACAGAGAAACCACACACATTAAGCAAGGCCCTGTGTGTTAAGTCAGTTTAAACTAGATACGGGACACAGAAACAACACATATCTTGCAAGGCCCTGTGTTAATCCCCTATGAACTATATAGCTAGCTACTGGACACAGAAACAACACATATCTTGCAAGGCCCTGTCTAAATTAAATCCCCTTATGAACTAAATATATACTGGACACAGAAACAACAAATATCTTGCAAAGCTCTGTGTTAATCCCCATGAACTAGAAACTGGACACGGAAACCACACATTAATAAAACTACCGAGGCTATTTGTTAAGTCCCTATATGAACAAGATACAGGAACCACAGGGTAGCATGGCCGTGTTGAATGTCCCCATCACCTGATCATGTGAGCGTAATTATTAGGCCGATTCCCTGCGTAAACAAGGCAGCCATCCCTCCCATTTTCACAAAGGTTATGATTTACAAGTGTCCTCAACAGCTGGCAAAGTATAGTACAAAGGGAGACAATTATACTGGTTGATAAGTTGCATACAATATGAATGACATTTCTGGATCTAGTTAACAATTTCAGCCCAATCCCTCAATTA